CTTGCTGCCAAATAGATAGTTTTTAATGCACTTGAGAATGTTGGAGTCTATGCTGAAATCAAAAGACCGATTTGAGATACATTTAATGAACTATCTAAATTGATAGGCATCTAAGGGGAAAAAATTTCACTCAGTGTCATATGTTTCCGTAGGATTCAGTAAATTCACACTAATTACTCCAATAGTTTGACAGGCATACAAGACAGTAGTAAGCTACTAGTTACCTACTACCATCCAAGATGTACTAGGTTACACCATTTATTGACAGAGAAACAGAATGATGTCTTCTTTAGTTGCTTAAGTTTAACGAAAGCCGTTTGCTACATATGACAGAATGTGTGGAAATTAAAAAACAGCGTCCACAAATTCGGTAGATAGAGTGAGGAAAATGAAGAAATCTGCGTTGAAAAATGATATCAATGTAATCAACTAGGTCTTAATTCATCTTTGTTATGAGTTAAAAAAAATTAACGAGCATAGACCTACATATAAATTAGAAAAATATCTACTTATTCATTTCTATTATAATGTCAAATAGCTCACACCTATGGGTGCAGAATTCCTTCCAAATTCTATCAGACCACCCTTTTACTACATTCCTATGTTGACCAGCACTAACGCTTCACATGGTGGTAGTAGGCAGGCCTAAAGCTATTGTTAGCCATAAATAAAGGTCAGGAAAATGATCGACTGTAGACATGAGATTTAGTGGGCTGTTAACAAGGTCATTTCCAAAGGCCTCACCTCTCGTTTCCGATTGGCTTAAAACATTACAAAGACAGCCAATGAAAAGCTCTGTTATTTATCACAATCTAAAGACCTAAAAGGCAAATTCACGTCTGACAAAATAATATATATAGGGAAACAAACATTTGTCAATTTGTCTGCGTCTCTCTACGACTATGCCACCAAAAGTTGTATCTGGTAAAGCTGCGAAGAAGGCATCCAAGGCTAAGTTGCCGAAGGTTGACAAGAAGAAGAAGAGGAGGAGGAAGGAGAGCTATGCCATCTACATCTACAAAGTCCTCCGTCAAGTCCACCCTGACACTGGTATTTCGTCCAAAGCCATGTCAATAATGAACTCCTTCGTCAACGATATTTTCGAACGCATTGCAGCTGAGGCAAGCAGGTTGTCTCACTACAACAAGAAGTCCACCATCTCCAGCCGCGAAGTTCAGACAGCTGTTCGTCTCTTGTTGCCTGGTGAGCTTGCTAAGCACGCCGTGTCAGAAGGAACAAAGGCTGTCACGAAGTACAGTGGCTCGAAGTAAAACATTCCACCAGAAGTAGAGAACGCTACCACAGCCCTCTTAAGGGCTACCAAACAATGATTATAGTCTTTTTGTTTTCACTTTCTTTGGACGACACAGGGTGTGCAGTTGCGTTAGTTTTTGTCATGGCAGGTTTCCTTAACTAGCGCTGAAGACAGTGTTATCAAAGTAAGCGCTAGCAGTAAGATGTATTTAGTAATGGGGTGCGTATGAATCGTCGTGAGCTTTGACATTCCCGCTGGGTAGTACTGACCGTCCGATCTACCTTATGGTGCTTAGGTGGGGTTGTAGGCGATGAGCGTAAGGGGATTGACGTGTAACAGGCATGGTGATATGTCGCCAGCGTTGTGGTCGGATGATAGTTGTTACGGGCAAGGCAGTGGTAGCTGAAGGAAAATGATTGTAGGTTGGGGAACAGCCAGGGCTTTCATTATTGTCCGTGATCATTTTGAGCGTGTGAACTGCGTTAACTGAACTATGAATAGTAGTGCGTATTCTACCGATTTCTACTGTGCTGGAGCTTCCAGTAACTGTCGATAACTACATTAAACAAGCCTCCTAATGTGTAGCACATGAGTGATGGGAAACAGAAATACATATGTCCCAGACTTATGTTAAGAAGTTAATTTGATTTGTATATTCTCAGTCATTCAAATTAGGTTTATTCATAAAGCTATCAACATGCAAAGTTCACTACATTGATTTGATGTTTCATGTTGAGTACTCCCTTGAAATAGATTTCGATGCTACATACTTTGTAGGCTTAATAGAAGGACTCACTGAGATAGGGTTATTATATTTGTGCACATTGACGTCGATAAAGTAATGAGCATTTTGCAAGTTTCGAATGCGACCGCTTGGCCATTCTGCATTTGCAACATGTGAATTCCCAACCATTGTTATCATTAACTAAAGGTCGACGGCTTCACAGTTCCGTTTACTACCAACGTATACAGTTTATGTAGTCCATAAGGTACCGTATAAACTTCATATGACAACTTACGGGACAGAACTTATGAATACAAGTCAATTAATATTGAAAAAAAACAAATAGTTTATTTATACAAAACAGGAGGGGGCTAAAACCAATGCAGAATCGACGTTTATTCTAACCAGGGAACAGAATTCAGATTAGGTTTGTGAAATTGTGACAGGTGAATCCATTTGTTCGAACTCAGGTAATCGCTTGGTAGCAACGGTTTCGGTACAATGAAGCAACTTAGATTCCTTCTACTTATTGGATATCCCATAAATTCAGCTGACCTGAAATGTACATCTCGTTGGTGAGGTTCTTAGGGCTTAGCCTGTAAGGCCCATGTGTCAAATTGCAGAAACCCTGACTTATTTGTCCCTGTTGTCCAAAGTGTCTCCTTGCAAATTGTTCCCAAGTATGAACCAGACCGCTAGGAATGTTCTCCGGAAACCGCGTATTTCAAACGAATATCTGCATTTGAAGATAATGTGAGCAGCATATTTACTTACTTTCGTAAGTTAATTAACCAGCATTTTCACTTAATATGGAAACCAATTCAGGTGTGATTTAAAATTGACTCCCTTTCGACTCTATTTCTCGAACCTCATTACTAATTTCGAGAGGTTCCCATACTCGATAAGATTCTTTTTTAATAGGAAGTACCTTGTGGAATGGCTTCAAACATTATTGTAGAGACCGTAGTAATGAAACCTACGTCGATGCCGTATAACTCTTTCTGTTAAGTCTATTTGTTTGTGGAATAATGATAATTGCTTCAATTTGGAAGTAGATTGTTTTTAAACAGCTAAGGATGATACCTTGATAAGGTTGAGAAATCTAGAGAATTCTAAAACCTCGACAATTGGCCTATCAGAGAGGGTAGTTATTCCAGCTCAGTTCCGAAAAAATCTGTCTATATCCATTTGCCATTCAAACGGGATAATGTAGAAGAAGGAGTCAAACGAAGACTCGATGAAGCTGAATGATGCAAATCTTATCTTCCTTATCACCATCAAGCTAGTGCTTCAACAATCTGAAAGACCAGTCACCAATCCTCGACACTTCAAACTACCTATATGAATTTGGTTGTATTTTTGGTAGCAAATACTTAGGTCGTAGAGAAAGACGATTTTCTACTCGCATGAGGGAAATAAATGCTGTAAAAAAAGTACCAAAAACCTCATAAACAAAACATCTTGTGGACATGACATCGACGCTATCAAGTCATTCTCTGTTGTCAGCAGACAAAGAAACAGGAATATTTCATACATGTGGTTCCCTTGATAAATTTCGATAGAGAAAGGAAGACCAGATTTGCAGTATAAAATGATGTCATTCTATTTCACAGGTTCTCATCGGCTCCAGACTACCAGAAATTACAATGATGTAAATGTGATAATAACATACTTTAATGTGTAGATGGTAGTAGAATAGTGTGTCTAATCAAAGTGTCACAAACGATTGACAAAAGACTGAAAGGTGCAATAAAAAGAAGCTTCCCTGCAGCTCAACTCATTATATCATACAGCGCTACTTCTATAAGCTAATCAAAACTGGATAAATACCCTAATGATGTCACTTCCAGACTTGTACATACAGAAGGAGAGTGTGATTAATCTCTCACTGCCTTGGTAACTGAAATTTGATTACATTAATTAGTCATCGAATTCAATGATCTCAACTCACAGAGCAAATTCCAATCGTATAAACTGCAACCGCTTTCGTTTTTTGTTATTTTTTTCTGTTTTCTATCCTACTGCTCCCACCTCTTTTCTACTTTGAAAGTGTATGAATTGACTTTAACTAAAAATTGATATGCTTAAATTTTGGATGCATCAAACTTATAGTATTGCTACTCTGCTACCACTTAGAATGTTATCGTTTCGAATACTGCAAATCTGGTCTTTCTTTCACTATGGAAACAGGAATATGCTTGTAATTGCAGAAGCTCGTGCAATTCGAGTTCATAAACTATGTCTCTGTGTACAAAAGGAAACGGTCGTCACTCTGAATCCACCATGGTAGACCTACGTGTCACTTACTGATAATTATTATTAACACTTAGAACGCTTGTTTCCACCTCATTATTATTTTTGATTCATTTAAAACTACCTTTTATCAGTACCATCCTAAATCACTGCGCCATTATTATTAATACTGTTAACATTACAACCACTAATATTGATATATTCTCTAATGACTATCTGTTTATCTAAGTGATATCACTGAGGAGTGATACATTTTATCTCAACTTCCTTTTCCTCTTATATATTTGGAACGTGATCTGTCTTTCTGCATGAATAATTCGATGTAGTCTATTTGCTGATCTGTTTTATATCTCCCAAGGTAATTTCAATAGTATATACATCCCCGTATGTAGAGTACTCAGATGACGAGTTCTACCGGAATTTCATGAATTTACCAATTCCTGCTTGTTATATATTTTAGCTCAAGGACGAGTTGTGATGTAATTGTAACCATTAAGGACTAACCGCTGGGTTTCGTTAGTAAACCCTGGACAACGCATTCCAAAGATCAGTTCTACTAAGCTGAGAAATTTAGACAGGGAGCCACCTATCAACACAACCTCACCACAATCACTGATACAAAACTAACCAGTATGCACTACGTAAAACACCACTTCTCTAATACAATTCTCAATTTAACATCTGTCTACATGAAGTACTGTGACCGACAATTTCACGATTCGCAACAACCCGTACCACCACATTGTACTCCCAGTATAACACCACATCCCCAATAACACTCGTAATAAACGTCTAACAAATAACATGCACAAATCAAATTCTAGTGGTCCTAAAAAGGACCGTGAGACGTTCTCGTGCAGACCAAATTCAACTTAGGTCACCTCCAACTCAATCACTCACTCACTGACTAAACTAACCACCGAAACCGTACAGAGTACGACCTTGGCGTTTCAAAGCGTACACAACATCCATAGCTGTCACTGTCTTCCTCTTCGCATGCTCCGTGTATGTCACAGCGTCACGAATCACATTCTCCAAAAACACCTTCAGAACACCACGAGTCTCCTCGTAGATCAAGCCTGAGATGCGTTTCACACCACCACGACGAGCGAGACGGCGGATAGCGGGCTTCGTGATGCCTTGGATGTTGTCTCGGAGAACCTTTCGATGTCGCTTGGCTCCTCCTTTACCCAATCCCTTTCCACCTTTTCCACGGCCAGACATGATTCACCGGTAAACTTGGAGAGATAGATCTGCGAAGACCACACGAGACGGCGTGAGACAGTGTTGAGTGTGAAAGTAACCCAGCTGTTTCTCGAAAAGACGAGCCACATTTCGACCAATTGGAATGGGTGTAAATGCTGTCAAGGTGAGTTTAGAATGGACGAATGGGAGACGAGTGTGGAAGAGGGCCAAGGTCAGCGGATTGTAGGTCAGAGTTGTGTGTTTGCGAGTGGTTGAGTGAGTGAGTGAATGAGTGGTGAGAGAGATGTGTGTGTGTGTATATGCATACGTGTTTGTGTGTGTGTGATTTTGTTGTCTATTGGAAATGAATTTCATAGGCTAGCTTGCTGTTTCATATGCAGATTGGAATTATAGTTTAATGATTCGCATTGAATTACTAAGGTCACAGGGTTCAGTGAAGAGTTTTCAGGGGATTTTTTATCAAGCTGTAAGATCGTATGTAGAAGGTTTTTTTAACATATTACATCCGGTGAGGGATTTAAATTAAAATAGTATGAAATCCGGTAAAAATATTTGTGATTATAATCATAGTTAAATGTCAAGTAGCAAGACAATTAATGTCATATATAGAATAATACATAAGGAGTATAGATGTGCATGATTGTAGGATTAGTAGGCGAATATAAAATTCTACGTAACACGGTGGGGAATTTGATAAGATAGAATGCAATATTGTAAAAAAAATAATTTCGGATTTCGAATGACAAGTGGGACCTGCGGAAACAATTCAGAGTGAGAATAGTAGTAATAATAATGATAATCGTAGTAGTAAGGGAAAGGTACATAGAATAACTAAACAAACAGACAAAATAAATAAATGTCTATCTCTCTACGGCCAAGGCAGAAGTAGGGATTGTACACACTTCTTTTGTACACAAAGAAAATGGCTGAAAATTCCATACTTGTACTGAAAATACGGTGTGGAATCAAGCTGTAATCAAAAATAAAATAAAAAAATTAAAGTCATGAATTGCCAAGTCCTCCTCTGTCTTTAGAAGTCTATAACGAAGAAAACGCGGGGAGTTACCGTGGATTCTGTAGAATATATTAAAATCATGGTCAGGGTTGTCAGAGTGACAGGAGTCGATCAGGTGTTCTCGAATAGAGCTTCTCACACACTTCCTTTCTCCCTTGTAAAGCCATGCAGCTGGAATATGTTTTCATCTCCGTGTGGAAAGTGTCCTCTGGCTACGGCCAATGTACCTTGGAATTTCGCAAATTGGCCAAACTAAATCATTACAGCCATAACCAACAATTCTGAAAATGATCAACAGCAACCAGTCGAAATTCAAATGTGTTTTTCAACAGTCACAAAATCGTTGAAAAATATTCAGAAAAACATTGGAGAAATGATTTTATTCTGGGAAATCTCTTGTTTGTTGTAGGAATGATTCCCACTTTCTCGAAGGATAGTCCACGGGAAATCACGCGATAGGCGATACGTGTGTTCATCCAGGTGACTGAAGATCATGGTACCTTGAGGTTTGTTGAAATCCCTGATTCTGCTGTTTAAACTGTCGGAGAATTGTTCTTTATATTTTTTGTATGGGTGTCTGTAATTGTATTGACGAAATCGGAGGATTGGTTAACACGGTGGTGAATATAACGCAAAGATGACAATCGGTTATATTTCTTCCATTCGTCCGTATGTATTGTTGTTCGTAGTATCACAAGTTGGTTTCCTGTCAGTTGTAGACTTACGACACTGAAGCAATATTTGTAAAAGAGAAGTTGACAAGACTCGAGTTGCATTGCATCCTTTTCTTCTTCTTCGTACACATAATCTTAACTGCTTGCTTGTAGCTTAAGTGAAAATAGTGGCTGTAATATAGCAGCGGTAATTCATGATGCCTCAACGGACATATTGTACATACTGAAATAAAGTATGGAAACCAAACAAGGTGATTCACAGTCACTAATGTTCTGTTTGTTAACAGTCTATATATCGACATACTATTGGGATTGTGATCATCATTAAGCGAAAGTACATTTGTTTAAGTTCTATACATTTTCCGACGAAAATGGATTCTGTAATGAAGCTGATAAGGTTAGTTAATAGTTTGTGAGCACCATAAAGGGACAAATGACTAGTATCAACTGAAGTGGAAAACAGTCCTGTGAATTATAACATGAGTGGAAATCATAATTATGATGTTGATGATTACAATTTAATATTGACGTGAATCTGAGACGCATTTAGTGATTCATAAGGAGATCTTAATACATCTGACTTACTGACAAATGTTTCAAGTAAAATGAAGTCATAAAATGTAGTAGGATGGTGTCCTTTTGGAAGTTAATTGGTTGAAAAGCTAAATTGAGAAGCAGTGAGTATTTGCCCAATGAGACTGACCAATATGCATGCTTAATATACAAGTGATGTTTATTCATCACATCACTTCCGTAATGTAGGAAGAAACAGTTCAGCGAAGAGTCAGTCCCTTTTCTGCGAATTCATTCAGTTAGCTGTACGATCGCATTCATATATAATTTGTGTGTGTGTGTGTGTACCATAGGATTGTCAGACAAGAATAAGAATTAGCTAGAGTTGGTTATTGTTTACGTCATGAAAAGGCTTCAAAAATGTGGTGAATAATCAAATTTTAACTAGGGGTGGGTGGGTGAAGACTGGTAAGTATCGACGAGGGTTGGGTTGTGTAACATGAAGGACACTCCGAAGAATGGGATGTTAATGAAAGAGCGTGGGGACAAGTTTCCAAAATAAGTTGTGTAATAGGCAGGAAGAGTAAATGAAGGGTTGGTTAGGAAAAAGATGTTACTAAAATATCATAGGAAAATTCACAAATAGTATTAGTCAGAAAGAAAGTGTGATTCGGTGGTCCAGTGGTAGTGCACTCGCCAAACACACATATGACCCGGGGGTTCTGCACCCGGCCGACGCACTCCTAAACCTCGGTAAGCCTTCAATAGGGCCAGTAAAGAGGGTAGGTTGGGTGTGAGGTTAGCGACCCCACTCCGTAAAAATAAAGCCTCTGCTACTGCAACTTCAGAGTACTAGCTTGAATTCCAGTGTTCCACTAGAAACGTAAAGGAATAATAAAAAAATAGTAACAAAGCAGTCGGACATGGAATTACACTCAAGGTAGAGGGAGGGGATGGAGAGGTTTCTTCTGTGTACGTGAATCAGGGTTCTCCATCCGGATCACTAAGGCCTCGCCAATGCAAATATATGGAAGCTAAAAGTTTTCGAGAGGCTTCTTTTGACTCTGTAGATGACTTTGAATGAATTCTCCCTACAAATGGAGTGACTAGTGTTGAATATATGCTCAATAATAGCACTCCTTATTGATTCACTGTTACCTTTCCGTAGCCAAGTGGGATAATGTTATTTGACTCTGTTAGATAAAATACGCATCGGACGACTTATGTATTTCGCTTCACACGACCAAGTAAATTGGTAGATACACATAGAAATGGTCAAATATGATAATTTATCTTTGGAGTTGTTGATGAACTACGGACAGCTTGGGAATTACAGTCGTAATGTAGCAGCAGAGAATATTCTTTTCAGGGCGTTAGATATTCTTCTCTTTAGGATGTCGGCGAGAAGGACGCCTTCCGTAATAATCGTTATTTCCCACACAAATTTATATGATTAAATAATCTGAATACAGTTATATTCAGATAGATTTCCTATGAATGCTTTTATCTTAAGTGGAGGGATAGGCGTCTTTAGAATAGAGGACATCCTATAGGTATTTACGGGGAACTCACAGTTTCGTAAGAGGCACTTGGTAAAAGTGTGGTGTATTTCCTTATGTTTGTCAATTCTCATCTACTGTTTTATTTACCATGAGGAGGATACGTAAGTTAGTTTGTGCTCAGAGGAATTCACTTGTATAGTCAGTTTCAGTAAAGTGGATAGATCTTTGTGACTTACGCGTAACATTGTCAATCACTAGTATAGCCGAATATTATTCAGTTCAGGTGAGCGAATGAGGAGAAAATCTTCTACTTACTTATATCTGAATGAAGTAAGGTGATTTGGTTGTCCGTGATTTCTATTTTTGAAAATCATCTGAAGGGTTAAACTGAATCACCCAAGAAGTCCAAAATTCTCATGAGTCGAAAATAGTCAACTGGATTATGAAGAAAATGAGTGAAGACAATTTAGAAGATATAATTAATGTTTCAGTCAATATGATGAATGTGATTACACGGTGTATAGAATGTATTTTTGTCTCTGAGTAACTTGCACTAGTAGTTAACTGATGATGGCCGTCTTAGTTTTCTCTGGATGTAATTAGCAGCTTACACTCAAGTTTTAAATGAGATCAAGTCGAGGTGAAATCTATCTGCGATGAGAATTTCTGTGAAAGCGGTCCATTCTCTACAAATCATGTAATCGAATGTGAATGTTTCGATGATTGGAGAATAATCCGATGTGATTGATTTCTCAAGACTTGAGTGAGAAATTTTAATCTCGTCAGTCAGTCAAGTGGCGTGTCAGAAGAACTACTCAGTCATGGTACTGGATAGTGACACTGTGGATCACTAGACTCAACAAAGCTGGAAAGCGTCAGCTACTGAATCCCGACACAGTGCTCGAATTTTAGAATAATTACTAGCAAATATGATGATTTTGTAGTTGATCCTGTAATCTCTGATAACTATTCACTATTGATGGCTTATTAACTCGAAATGGACGCCAGTGACGATAGCAACTCTCACTGGTTTACGATGTTTCTCCTGTTTGATGTTAATTGATGATAGTCGTGGGAAGTCAGTTACTTACATACCTTCGACTTATGAGCCCGTTTTCGTGTTTGTGTTAGTAAGAAATAACCTTCATGATTCATATGTGGCCATTTATGCTGATAGTGCTAGGTGTTGGTCCTACAAATGGCTGACACTTTAGTCTGTTCGAGTCTATCTTGATGGTCAGACTGCTCAAAACATTTCCCGAATAATGATGATTGGTAATGATTTTAATTTAACTGTGATTTCTGTGAATGAGACAAATGTCAGTTTTCAGTAAGGCTAATTTTGCTTTCTGAAGATTTCAGTACAGCATATAC